AGAGAGAGAGAGAGAGAGAGAGAGAGAGAGAGAGAGAGAGACTTGGGATTACGTGAGATCAGTCTGTTTTCATAAGACACTGAGACCACCTTTTTACACTTGAAACTTCACAGCAAACACTGTGAAAGTTCAACTTTTGTTTATCTTCACAACATTTTGCTGTGAAATTTCAAGTGTAAAAAAATGATCTCACAGGTCTCATAAAAACAGACTGTCTCATGTGAACCCAACCATATATATATATATATATACATATACATATGTATGTATGTATGTATGTATGTATGTATGTATGTATGTATGTATATGTAGGGAAGGGTTCAAATGAGAACACATTCATTTTACGAGAATGCGATAACACTCTTTTACTATAGACAATCACATGTGATACTATTGTTCTATCATATATGATACACATGTGATACTAAATCAGAGAAGCGAACAATCTTCGACGTGATCTTGGTTGCAGGCCAAGTCGCCCTTACACCACTAAGCCCCATCACAAGTACTATCACATATGATAAGAGTGTTGTTGATATGATACTATAATCAATCAAGACCATTACATGTGATGCTAAATCATAGACGGAGACAATCTTTGACGCGACCTAAGTCGTAGAACACGTCCACCGCACATCATAGGGTCCTTTCACGCATATTATCACCTGTGATAAAGGTGTTCTCACGTTCTTATAAAATAAATGTGTTCTCGTTTGAACCTCCATCTATATATATATATATATATATATATATATATATATATATATATGTATATTATATAATAAATAATTAAATAACATTTACATTTCAATTAATTTGATCCGACATGTTTGTTTTCACCAAATAAAGGCAAGTGGTAACCTACCCCTACCTTACCCCACTACAAATCAAAACAAAAACTAACCCTTTTTAATGTCAAAACCCATTTCACATTAATAAAAAAAAGTATATTTATCACTTCAAAGTAATTAGCTACTAATACCTATTTTAAGCATAACTAAATATTATTGGGTTAGACGATTGTTTTAGGTTTAAGGCATTACAAATAATATCAGAGTCCATTCTTATACATCAGGATGGTGGGGCATACCTCATTGGGCATGATGAATCCTTAATGGGAAGTGGGTGTTTTCAATGATTCACATATGAACTTTTCTTTCACCAAATTGTCATCATATTTAGTTTTCTTATTTATACATTCCATTATATATGTATGTATCATATATACAGGGGCGGTTCCCGCCCTTAAGAACTGGGGGGAAAGGTACCAGTCAAAGACCAAAACGTTTGTTGACTAGCTTAAATTTTCTATTTTTACCCTCAGTCTCCTATGACCATATGCTTCCCTCCCCAAGTCCCATCTAACATATCCACACTCCATTAATTTTTTGGATCCGTCACTGCATACACACACACACACACACACATATATATATATATATATATATATGTCACCAAAAGGGCCCGTAAAAGAAAAGGTTTACGCCAATAATACAACACCCTACTCAACTTTTCTTTTTGAAACTGACCCGCTTAGGAATAGAAATAAAGGTGTCGTGATGATGTCATTTTAAATGCTATAAGACTACTTGATACCAAAACGTAACCTTATAGCCATCTCTTTATATTATGATTTACAGTAAGACATTTTTTTACTTGTGATGAAATTAATGGCAAAATAACTACAAATGAATGATAAAAAAACATTGTATAAGAAAAAATAGTTAAATATTAGGAAAAAAAAATGAAAATGGCCGACCCCCTTACGCATTTGTTCAATAAAATTTGCAACGTCTCGTATAAATTATATATTTTTTCAGTGCACAACTACTTTTGTTTTCTTCTGAAACAAACTTGCCATGCTAAATTATCAAAAATACGTCAACATACGAGTGATCTGTACAGTATTCCTTGGTTTACTCATATCTCACAGTATCCCTGATATCATGAAAACCAAATACCTAAGAACTGCTATAGAAAATTATCGTTTTAATTAGAATCATGTAATTATACTTGTCCTTTTCTTTTTCGTGATAACCTACAAAATTCATTCCGTTTCGAGTAATAATTAGATGACGTTTGTTTGAAAAAAGAACACTTTATTCATCTTCTATGTTTTATCAGATACAAAGTTGGATTTATAAGACCGTTTGATTTTTCTGTGAAAATAACATAAAATCTTTTATGTGGACAAAAGATAAACTCGTGTATTATCAGCTTTTCACAATATTACTGATTTTGTTTTCAAAACCTTTATCAATGAAAAGTGAAATAAGGACTTAGATTCAGACTTCAAAACTATTTAAAAACAAACAACACCTCAACATTCATCACTGAAAGTATGCTCACATTTAACTGAATGATTCAAAAATAAAATATTTAAGGGTCATTTATACAAATACTTACCCGATAAGCGCTTAACGGTAAGAATTAATATTGTCACTAGCCTTACCGGGTAAGATTCTAGCCCACTACAATAGAATCGTATGTAATAATTCACCTAGTAAACACTAATCGGATAAGAGTTATCATCATCACTTACCGGATAAGACAATCGGTCTTCACCATCAGTCTTATCAAATAGGATTTTTGGTCCTTGTCATGTTCATTCGGTAAGATAAATGACCTGGTAAGCAGAGACGGACGTATTTTTTTTCCAAATAATGATACCATTTAACTATAAGAAACAAATATAGAGATATTTTTCACAAAATCATCATCGATGGTTAATTAATTGATTTTCATATCCAAACCTTTTATTGTAATTTTTTTTCATAACCATAATAAATCTTAAATTAAAAGCTATAACTAAGAAAATAACACTAACAATATTCAAACTTGAGTATGGAGTAAAAAGAAAAGTCTTGCAAGTCAACCTTATCAAGAGAAACTTGTATCCTCGTTATAGTTTCAAAATATAATATGGTTGCACACAACAAATTGATAAAATGGCATGCACTTTCACGACCCTATAATTTTTTATACAATTGAGGAGTGACCTGCACCACCGTATCCGATACACGGGATTCATTCTTTTCGATAAATGCTTATCGGATAAGCATTTAATAAACTGTGTCTTAATTATTAAGAACAAAATGGAGTGGGAAACATAAATTAAAGTAAAGAGACATCTTTATATTTTGATGACGTTAATCTACCAAAACGACACTCTCCCGGCCGGTTAACCGGAACAAAATTTTAAGGAGGAAAGAGAAAGAAAAATAAATGGAATTTTCTAGAAAAAAAGCTAAATATAGCCGATCAAACTTGCTGAAGATGATCGGCGCCGGCGCGGGTGGCGGTGGGTGGAGTAGGCTTAGCAAGGTAGGTGGGGTTGATGTCTCCGGGCATCACTATAACGATCTTCGGCTCCATTTCCGGCGACAATTCCATACGAAACTCCGGCACGGATTGCTTTTCTTGATCACCGGTGGTGTTTTCCGATGAATTCTCCGACGAAGAAGAAGAATATGGTTTCTTGTACGAGCATACTAAGATGATCAATGCACATGCTATTAGGGTTAGCATGAGAGCCAGACCTCCGAACAGGTACGGTATCGGAGAGCTCCACCGGAATCCGGTGGCAGCTGCGGTGGCGCTGACGGCGGCGGTGGTGTTTTGTGTTGGTGGTGTCATTTTTTGGGGTCTTTTTCTATTGGTTTGTTTTGGAGTGCAATGAAAAGGTTGAATTGTGGGTGTATTTATATCCAGGGGAAGTAGTACTGTAGACTCCCTCTTTGTAACAGTGCATGGATTAGGATCAAGTGGTGAAATGACTAAACTACCCCTGGTATCAATTGTGAAATGACTAAACTACCCCTAGTGCTTAAAAGCAGGGTTTTTTTCTTTTCCTTTACGGTTTCTTTACTTGCTCATAAAGCACTACTTTTGGAATTATATTCCTAATTTCGGCTTATATTATGCATTTAAACCATCTTTTCCCAATAATAAACACTTCACTAGCTTATAATAAACAATTCAGTATCAACCTCAGATCAGATGTCATCGATTTGAGTCCTACAATGTTACTGAGAATTTTCTTAACTGTTATTCAAACAGATTTTTCTCGGGTTTTTTCAATGATTCACATATGAACTTTACTTTAACTAATTTTTCTTACGTTCTCGTGATATTTAGTCTTTCTTGTTTGAATTGACCCCTAAAATTAATAATACCTACAGGGTTTAAAATATCTGTTAAAGTTTACCTGTTATGTCATATATATAATGCGATTTTTCTTGAACCATCGCCAACAGGACACTAAAAAGAAAAAAGAAGAATCATATTGTACGAAAAAAACAAAAGCATGGGTATTTTGGTAATTTAACATTGATCAATATTGTTGTTGCAAGCAAGCAAATGGAAAGAGGGAAGAAAGGGAGTGTAAATTAAACAGCCCACGATAACGTGTCACTTTAGGCAAGATATCACTTTGTTTCCAAAAATTTCCCCATTAACACGATAAATGGTTTATGTTTTTTCCGTATTTTATCGACTTTTTAAATTATTTTAAATTAAAAAATATTTTTTGAAGTATATAATATTTATATACGGTAAATAGAATAAATAAACTCACACATCTTCTTCACATTTGATGAAGTTTAAACATCTGAGAGTCCTATGAGACAAAAGATTCATATACCACTAGACTAAAGTAAATAAAATAGCATAACTGTTAAAGATGTTCTTAATATAATAAAGATAAAGGATAAAAACCAGATGTATATAAATAATAATACAGATAAAAATAGTCAGATACGGAGAGATAATGACTTGCAAGTTTGGTTGTTTATATATATTCTGGGGGCGCCATACACGACGCATTTAATCATGCGAAATTTGTTGGGTATTTATCATCTAAAATTTAAATAGTAATAAAATGAGAAAAATATAAATAAAAAAGGGTAGTGGAAAATTACGTAGGAAGTGGAAGGACCTCTTAGATTCCAATATTTGAATTTTATATCACAATATCTGAAATTTCTCCATATGCATCAAATTCACACCAACTCATTCTTTTCAATTTTAAACATGTACATAATTAACAGTTATGTTATTTTATAAATTATAGAGTAAAATTTTATTCCAATAATTATGTTAAATTTTTTTTTTAGAAAAAAAATATATAACATATCAGTTGAAGATAGGGGTGCTTATGAGTTGAGTTGATCGGGTTAAAGACATTTGAACAACCCAAACTAATGCTTACGGTTTAAAAAAATTTAACCCAAACCAAACCAAAGTTTACGGATTGGTCGGGTTAGTCCGGTTAGTCGGGTTGATACTTTGATATATTAAGATATTCTTCTAAGCTTGAATATGTTATTTCTCTACTAATAGTTTCTTTTTCATCATTAATCATTTGAAGACATAGAATTGATATAAGTGAAATACATTATCAAATATTTATTAAAAAAATACTTATAGGAATAAATTAAAAAAAATGGGAAAATTTAAATATGCAATTAATAAATATTTTTGAAGACAACAATGAAATTAAGAAATTGGTGCTCGATGATGATTATACATTCGTCATAGTTTAATAACAAATTTATCAATTATTTAAATATTTAAAATACAAATAAAAAAATAACTAAGGAAATATTCTTGAACGTCATAGATTTTTGTTATATATATATATATATATATATATAGTTTGTTTCAAATACAATTCATTGTATTTGTACAACCAATACAACCCAATAAATTGAGATATTTATAGAAATGATGAAGGTTCATTTATTATGATCTGAATATTTATGGAAGATGAATATGGTTCATTAATTATGATCAATACTTTATATTAGAAAACAATCAAAACTTATATGAAATCACATATTAACCAAATGATATATATATAGAGTTTTTTTCAAATACAATCCGCATTTATACAACCAATGCAACCCAATAAATTGAGATATTTATGGAATGATGAGATTCATTTATTATAATTTGAATATTTATGGAAGATGAATATGGTTCATTAATTATGATCAATACTTTATATTATAAAACAATCAAAAATTCTATTTAATCACATATTAATCAAATGAAATGAATGGTTGAAATTGAGTTGTACTGGTTGCACAAATGTCATGGGTTGTATAATAACCAACTTATATATATATATATATATATATATATATATATATATGGTTCATTAATTATGATCAATACTTTATATTAGAAAACAATCAAAACTTCTATGAAATCACATATTAATCAAATGAAATGAACGGTTGAGATTGGGTTGTATTGGTTGCATAAATGTCATGGGTTGTATAATAACCAACCTCTATATATATATATATGGTTCATTAATTATGATTAATACTTTATATTAGAAAAAAATCAAAACTTCTATGAAATCACATATTAATCAAATGAAATGAACGGTTAAGATTGAGTTGTATTGGTTGCACAAATGTCATGAGTTGTATAATAACCAACCTCTCTCTCTCTATATATATATATAGAGAGAGAGAGAACTTGGTTCAAATACTAACCGATAAATTTGTGTTAACTATACTAACCAAGCCTAACCAATCATATTCCATCTTTACTTTATGTTCAAATATAACTCATATATTAAATACAAGGGTAATTAGGTAATTTGATCTTTATGTAACCCCCTAATAATTAATTGGGAGTTACAAATCTTAAAGATCTCACTAATTGATCATGATATAATTCTGAATTTTATCTTCATACGTGTTCATGATCGTAATTTTCAAGTGATGTTCTACATATAATTATATTATTTTTGTAAGTGTAAAAGATTTCTGTATCGTCCGAGTAATATGAATAATTCTATTGTAAAACATATTGACAACAATAGAAATGACAAAGTTAAAATCGTCTACGACTACGGTCGGAATTCGAATTCTGATAATGAAGAAGATGATCAAAGTGTTCATATTGGTAAGTGATTAGTATAACATTTGAATTCGTTTAAATGAACACATATTAAAGGCAATAGATGTTCATATCGATACATATGCATAATCACATCACATGAATATGAACAGTATATGTGATTCATGTGAACACAAGCTTCGTAGGTGTTCATGTATATACAACAGAGTTGGCTCCTGAATATACAGAAGATGTTCATACAGTTCACATGTTGTTCATATGTCTAATCTTTTTTGTTTGATGTGTTTTGAGGATATACACTAGTTGTTCATATGTCTGACAACTCGTGTATCAAAGATAGATTACTTTTTACCTAATATCCTTTGATATTTTGTTCACATATGTTAATTGAAAATATTAATTTAATAATTAATTTTTAAATATCATTAAATAACAACCGTTTATATTCAAATTAACGGCCATGATCGGTTAACAAAGTTAACACGATAATCTTGGTTAGCATTTGAACCAGCCCATATATATATATAGAGGAGCGATTAAATGAAAACCACCCTCATTTGTACAAATTGTACAAACCACACTCATACGTTGATTTCATTGTTTAATCTTATGAAATTGTTTCATATAATACTTTTTTTGATAAATTTGTTTCATATATGGTTATGAAATTGTTTCATATAATACTTAATGAAATTTTAATAAAACTGTTTCATGTATTTTTCTAAAATTAAAATAATGAAGATGATAATATCCATGATTAACACCTTCCACAATAAAAATGGTTAATCATCCTCTCATAATTACAAAAAAAGAACAAAATGAAAAATTATGATTGGTTGAATGTGGTTTTCACGGTTTGTATAAATTGGGTGGTTTTTATTTGAATGCTCCCCTAACTTGTGGCTATTTCTATAGAGTTATAAATTTAAGGGTTAAAATTGTATTTTTAAATTTTGAGATAACGTATTTTCTAAACTTTCATTTTGGTATCTAGGATGTAAAACTTTAAACATTTAAGTATCCAGATAACTAGTTGAAGCATTAACCGGTTATCATGCTGATGTGACAAGTGATGTGGTATCCAACTCAGTATTATTTGTTTTTCAACCCAATTTCATCCTGTCACTTGCCACATTAGCATGGTAACTGGTTAATAATTCAACCGGTTATTCGGGTACTTAAATATTTAAAACTTTAAGTCTTAGGTATCAAAATAAAAGTTTAAAAAATACATTACTCAAAATAAGAATCAAGTTAAATACGTTACTTTTTCATGCAATTTACCTTAAAAATAAATACAAAACAATGTATGAGAACGAATAGAAACGATTGCAACATGATATAAAATTATTTATTATAATAAATATTTATAATATAATTTTTTCAAACATAAACATATCAACAAAAACAATCATGTTATAATATTATTTTAAATATATTAAAATTAATATGAGGATTTTCTTTAATTGGGTTCTAGAATTTGAATAAAATTTATTCATCCATATATATAATCCACTAAAGCAAGCACCATACTTAATTTGGTTATTCTATTTATGCCACTACTTATAAATAGTGCTTATTATTAAAGCTAAAACAATTTATTTAATCAAACATCCTATCAGAAAAAGAGTTAAGATGAGAAGTGTAATAAAAGATCTGAACTCTTGATCATTTTTAGTCTAAAACCAGCCTATGAATTGTGTTTACAAATGAATTGATTTGGTGCTTATCATTATTGTTGATCTAGTAGAACTCTTTAATTAAGATTGATTATCAAGGGTGGAGATCCCCTCTTACCCTTCTCACCATAGACGAAGTATCGTGTGAGAATATGAGTCAAGGTAAGAAGAGATTTGGATCCTTGATCACTTATAATCGTAAATCGACACATGGATTGCGCTTTAAAATAGAATTGATCCAATGTTTCTCATTATTATTGATATAGTGGAACTTTTCAATTATGATTAATCTAAGAGTGAATATCCCTTATTATCTTTCTCACTATAACTCTAATTCTCACAAAAACCCAACCCTCCCTCCAAATAGATAAGATAATAACTGAATTTTATTTGGTTATTTGTTTTTAACCAATAGCGGCGTGTTTTGAATCAATAGCAGATCATATAAAGGTCAATCGACGTGTAGCACATCTGGCAAAGGGGTGAAACAACTTTGTTCAAATACAAGATATTCCGGATTTGATCTCGGCTCCTCGTTAGTCTCAGTAGCTAAGTGAGTAAAAAAATTCCCCATCACATTAATATCCTAGAGTTGAACGTGAGTTTCGTATGAGATTGATTGAGTTTGTCAGTAATTCACTTTTTTCCTCAAATAAAATAAATATTAATTGGATTTAGATTGGGCTTTGGTCTATTTCAATGATTCGTTGCCTTTCCCTTTTTTTCATGTTAGGATTTATTTACTGGGCCAATCCACGGGCTTGGGCCGAACTGAATTTTATTTACCCTTTGCATTATTAATTCAAGAGTTTTTTTATTTATCTCTTGATAAAAGATGAATCTTGTTTGATAAAAAAAAGTCTGTATTTTAATAGTTATATAAAACTCTCAGAATGATTTTGTATTATGGGTCTTTCTTAACCTTTCAGCACCCTAATTTCGTTGTAAATAATTACCAAACAATTATATTTCATTTTGCACTATATGATGAGACTCTTATTTTGACGATTTAATGATTCTGCACTAAACCATTCAGCAACTGTCAAACAAAGTTTACGTTTTTTTTTCAATGGTTTGTTAAAACTTAAAAATTAGATTTGTATATTTTTTGAAATTTACTGTTGTTTTTATTTTTATTTTTATGATTTATAATTTAGTATGGTTTCCTTGAATCGAGAACACGAGTTTCTATTATTTCCTCCGTAAAAAAGTATTTCAAGAACATACTATTGAAAAACAAAAATTACAAAACATAGAAACCTAAAATGGTAATTTCACAACAACAAAGATGAAACTTGTAATTCTTATCAGGTAACGGCGGTCCTCCGCTTGCTGCCGCCGATGGTCGTCGGAGATTTCACCCGTTTCTGCAATTTTGTAAGGTAATAACTACTTGCCTAGTTTCTCAAATTGCATGTATCCGTCTATGTGTTCTATATCTAGACTCCTTTTAATTGGTAAAAACCGGCTATCATTTGAGGAATTGACAATAATGTCGAAAAATTTCTGTTATGTTATGTTTTTGATTGCTTGATTTTTGTCTAGATAGAGCATATTTGGTCCTTAGACTCGTAAGACCTGCACTTTGACTTTGAATGAACAGTGCTGCGCTTAGGGCGATTTGGTTGGTTTTCTATTAAGTTGTGTATGGATAAGGTCCTCCTTAAGCTCGTTAAGCTGCTAACAAGCATGTCCTTAGACTAGAAAATGGCAAAATGTGGCTCGACTACGATAAAGAGAGACAATTTTGCAACCAAATAGGTGTTTCTCTGTGCGTGTAATCCTCAGGTGTGATCTGTTTGTTGCTGCAACTTAATGATATTTTTCTGCTTGGATGTTATTCCATTTTGAAAATAAATATTTGTTCCAAAATACGAGCTATAACCGTAGGTAATGTAAATCAAATCGAATTCTCACGTTTCCTCACAGTGACTTGTGTACTCGAGTCTTTATGAGTTTTGAAAAGGTGGACTCTAACCTTTGGAACAATGTTGCACAATATGATTATGCTTTTGATTATGAGTGTTATGATCAAAAGGATGTGGTTGTTTCCTTTGGCAAAAAAGAAGCTTCATTGATTGACTGATGAACAGGGTTATGATTGATTTCAAAACCATAATTGTAATTGAACCCACTAATACTATTGCATGACTGAAGTAGGTTTTTGGTCTTCCCAAAACTGAAATGAGAATTAAATCCAGATTGAGGTTTGATAAGCTTGTGGTTGAAAGTAGCTAATGACATATGGAGGCACTCGAAGTCGGGAGTCAGGTATGCTTGTGAATTCATACTGCATTAGAGATGAGCCCTAAACACCTGATGCAGTAGGAGGCTAGTAGTGAACTGAAAACATTATTTTGTTGAAATTGTTGACAGTTACATCCTGTTTACTTAGAGTATGAGATCATCTTCTATGGAGGCTTATAGATCATTATTTTTTATTTTCGCATTTTTTCATGCCTAGTGTTTGCTGATGCAGTTGAATTGGACTTCTTTCTTTTCTTATAACTCAATTTTACTGCAACTAGTATCCATGCATCTTTGTCTGCAAAATGATGATGGAGGGAATAAGGCTGAAGGTTTAGGATATACATGACATGTTTCAGAAATTCAGAAAACTATTAAGAAAGTGGTGATATCAAAAGTGTGTTGATGCTTGATCAATGAGATTTTGAAATTTGTTTAGTGTAGTGATGGTAGTCTCATTGGGGTCCAGTGGTATCTAGAGTGAGGAATAAGGTATTGAGCTATGTGCTCTGCAGTGAGAACCTTCTTTTACCACTTTATTCTGATCTTGGACTTAAAAGGTGAAAAAGTGCAAACATTCCTGCCACTATCGGAGTTTACAAAAGGGTAAAAGTTTTCTTTTGCGTGTCTGTGTCTGTTGGGGGGAGGGTGGAGGTATAGAGATAAATATCAATATGAATCTTTCTTTTTCCTGTATAGTGAAAGATCTGTATGGATGTTTCTGCAGTTCATCATAATCTATTGTCACGTGTTGAGTTAGAGTTTAATATTGTAAAGCACCGATGTACTACCATTTCCAGGATGACTTGATTAGAACCTGCAGGACTAGCAATATAAATCACCTTAAGGACTGTAGCGGATCATACAGGCAGATCTATGTTTCACCTGAGTCACGAGGAGTACCAAGAAACAATCGATTCCTGTTCAGACATTGCTTTGTGAAAGTTTAACATTCTTTTGAAAGTTTAGTCTAGAATAATCATGGACTGAAGTAGCATGTGGGCCACGAAAATGAGTAAATTTATGCGAAGTTACAAATTATAGTTTGTTTTTTCTACCCTGGTGAAACTTAACTGCCTCGATCCTCATACAAAGAACTCCAGACACTCCCCGAGCTCTAAAATAAAGAAACTAACCTAGGAAAGGGACAAGGGCGGTCTTGCTTGGGGCGAAAGCTGCTAGTTCGGGCATGTACAACTACTGTCGTGAAATGCTATCTTGTACCAATATGATGTTTGGAGGACACCCCTATCCATGTGAAAGAACGATTTGCAGGTAATGAAGCATTACTAGCTCTCTTTGACTGACAGGAAAAACAATTGATGAAATAAGAATGATGACATGTTTCTTTTATATTCTAATAATTCATGTCCTCGTTCTAGATCAGGTTGAACCAAGATTCCTCCTATTGGAAACCAACAAATCAAAACTAAAGTTAGAGGCTGTTAGCAAGTTTTTTTGTGGTTAGCAGTAGGAGACAAAGCTGTAAGTTAACATTGGCGTTTGGTTGATATAGAAATAGGAACGGTAATGAGACTGCAGGAATGAGACTGAGATGCTAGTGAATGATTTTTTTCATTTCCCCAATTTAGACAGGAATGACCGATTACCCAAAACTTAGTAATGGGCTCATTACGTTATACCAAACGAACCAACAATATTGGTTCCCATTCCCATTCCCATTCCCTGTATCCCATAACCTTCGACATATACAGTTTATTCTAACTTGCATAAAAATTTCATGTTCTTTTTAAAGTTTGCGTCTTTGGTTTTACGTCTCACAATTATGGTTGTTCTGGTTGCTTAGAGTACTTCATGAACATATCTGCTCTTTGCCTTAAATTGAGATCTACGGATGGATCAGAACTCAATTCTAATCATGGAAAACAACTCTTAAGTATCACGTGATGGATAACCTGTTTGTCACTCCCTTTATATGTATATTATACCTGGTACTATACTTAATTTAATTATTAATTATATTTTTGAAAAATATCAATTACTTAGGATATGTGAGGTTGACTAATTTTATTGTTATTCATATTATACGTAATGATTTCTTACAATTATAGATTAATGTAGATTTTTTCTAATAAATTCAAACTTTATAGTATATATATATATACATACTATAAGGGTATTCGTGTAATGCATCGAGACACATTTTACATTTCAATGTTTCGTTTTATTTTTTATTCATGTCGATATAATATGATTCTATGTGGTTTTAAGAAACCGATAATTTTTTATTTTTGAATAAAATATAAATTTGAAAATATCATATAAAATTTGCAAAAAAATATATTAACATTAGTATCAAATTAACTATTTAAATTTTTTTATTTGTGTATTTTTTAATTCAAAATTTTTATTATAATTTAATTTATTGTAATGAAGTAACTTAATTTAGGTTTAATAATATATTTTTTTATAAATATAATAATTAAATATTCTGTTAGAACTCAATATTATCCTAATTATATTTTAGATTTTTTATATTTTAAAATGAGATGTTTATCCTATATTTGATTATGTTTATCACAGTTAGTTACACGAATTCAAATATAGAGCTTTAATAAGTTGTACTTATGCACAATTTACTTGTAATCTTGAATTTTAAGTAATACGCATCAATAAACAGTACTTCATGTATAAAAAATGGTTTTTAGGAGTTTTTGTTAAATGCTTTATAATATAGTATAGATATAGATAATAATGAATTTTAAATTCTTTCAATTAACATATTATATTATTTAATTTTTCTTTACTATCTTGTTTATATTAGTTAACATATTATATTATTGGAAATTTATTTTATTTATATTATGAAATATTTGTAATTGACTATTTATTCAAGATGCCCTTTTTGGTCATTTTACATGCTTATCTAGTTTTTGTCAATCATAATTTGTTCACCAGTTAGCTTATCAGCCATAAGCTAGTTTGCCAAACATAGCCTGAAACAATGTCAAAGACTATGACATGAGAATTTTGATATCAGTGCTTATCTAGTGTAGAAAAGGCTATTTTTTGGGCAAATGAACTGTAGATCCTTTTAAGGTCTGAAAGGACATTAAAGCAGAAAGGCTAAACAACCCTTATGGCACAGCAGGCGCCATGTATCAACTCAAAACACACAAACTAGTGCCTCCATGATGTGTTTCAACGCTATATTCTTAGATTTGCTCTGTTTACTTTTTTCCTTCGAAAAACTGAAAAGTTGCTACTTGTTTATCGTAGATTAGCAACATTTGACATTAGATATTAATCAAGTCCATGTTTTCATTAATGGATATGGGTATGTTATGAGGAGGCTAAACAGAACTCAGCCAAAGTGAGTTGACAATCATCTTTGGTGTTATGTTATGAGGAGGCTAAATACAACTCGGCCAAAGAATGGTTTCTACATCGGTTTGCTAATGCCACGACCTGATGTTAAGATTGTTTGATATTAGTGTTTTGTTATGATGATATAAACCATATAAGAAATCATGTGAAAATTCAATAGCCTACTACTGAGGGTACATTAAATAGGGATTATATATGCTATTATTTACTTGAAAGTCTATCACATGGGTCCTCCTATTTTGTTTTGTGCCCATTTCTCTTTACTATTCTACCCACTTTGATTTGGGCAGCAGAGGATGCAGACCCATTAACTATATGCTGGCCTACAGAGAGGGACCTAGAAATTTTTTCAAGTGGTGGCACTATTTGACTATAAGAAACAAATATATGGATATTTTTCACAAAATCAACAATGGTCTAGTGGTTAGTTCGTTGCTTTTCATATGTGAGTTCCTATGTTCAAGTCTTTTATTGCAAGTTTTTTTAGAAACATAATAAATCTGCAATTAAAAGCTAAAAACTAAGAAAATGACACTAACGGGACTCAAACTCGGGTCTATGGTGGAAAAAAAAGCCTTGCAAACCAACCCAGCCAAAGAAAAACTATAATCTTTTACACTACGACGGAGGAACGAAGCGATGGCACGTGACACCGTATGCACTACACTGGGTCCGTCCCTCTTGGCGTAGGATAAATGCCTGGATGCACACTCATATTTGTTAAATTTCTAGCTTTGATAATCAAATGCTTAGAATAAACAATAGATGCATGTATGTGATCTACAATTTAAGTGAAGGACACTACAGAAGAAAGTTGGTTAAATTACCAGGTGGTTTATTTTGGCTGATATAGTCTTTTAGGATTTTCCGTTCTTTCATAACAGGTTTTCTTCATCCTTTCCTTTTGGCCGGTAGAATGACCAGCATCCTCAAGGTTAAGGCTGGGAAACATGGGTGGGGTGAACAAAAAAAGGAAGTAAGGGTGCATTTGGTGTCCAGACAACACAACAAAGTGACTCATTTACCCCTAATGAGTAGTTTGTATCTTTTTATATATTTATGTAATTTATTAAAATGTAATCAAGTAAATAGTTTTGAGTTTTCGTCAAGACAACCAAAGTGACACCAAAATATGATGTTTATGTAATTTCCAAATTATCTTTTATACCTCTTATATATTATTCTTATTATTAATATTTCATAAATTTCATAAATTAACCAAAATATATAAAACGTATAAAGATAATATGTTGTAAACAATAAAGTGAAAGTTTAAAGAAGATAAAATACATATATAGAATTTAAAGAATGGATAAAACATAAAGAGGGAGGCGTATTTGATGTTTTAAAAGAGAATTAGGTTTTATTGTGAGGGTATATTAGTAAAATATAGGCTTGTTTCACCTTGTTCCATAGGCGCCTGTTCCACATAAAAGTCATGCCAAACATGGAATGGTGATCACTTTTCTGTCTTGTCCAGTGTCCTAAAGGACATAAGATAAAACAAAAAGGGGGACCAGAATTTATAATTGATTATTTGAGATAAGATCTTGTAGGGTACACAAAATGGCATCGTATCTAGCAGATCTAGCTAAATGCTCAGTAGTGTATGCTATTGAATTGACGGGGGCTGTTTGGTTGGTTTTCTATTTAGTCCTGTATGGATAAAGTTGTCTGTGTGGACTAATCTATCTGTATAGATTGGGAAGGTTTATCTTTGGGAGAGTTTTTTCATAGATGGAAGGAGCATGCTTTATAACTGGGAAGGGTAGGTTTAGAAAAAAAAACTTGGCTTTCTGCATAAAGCTCCTCCTAGAAGCTTACTTAATAAGCCACTCTCTATATCATTAAGCCACTACTAAACAGTCATGTATAGCTGACTGGATAAGCTATGAGTACCATTAAGCTCATTAAGCTGCTAAGAAACAGGCCCTCAGTTTTCCTCAGAAAGGTAACATTATTTACAGTCATATGTCTCGATTTCAGCCTTCCTTCTTCCAAAATATTGGTAACTTTGAAGATAAACTTGATACAATATCCATAGACCAAAAACCAAAATTGGAAAAATTGCATACATTTATAGAAAACAGAAGCACAGTTACAAGATTTACTATGATATCCTTACAACATGAATGGAAACAAACAGTTACATTAAGGAAAATTATGCATCTTCTAGTTAACTGGTAAGACTATTTTTCAAAGCATTCTTCAATTTAAAACGAAGGGACGATGCAGTATCCGCCTTCTGTCATTAGTGTCGTCGAGAACAATTGCTCTACCTCCACATCATCATTTGTTCTTTTTGCAAAACGGCCTTTGATCCTTGGCCTTTTCTCGGCATATGCTTTCCGAGACGCGTACCTGATGGTTTTCTCAAATTTTCTTGTTTTCTTCTTCTCCCTGTACCTGAGGACTCTGGCCTTTCTGTCTATTGGAGTAAGTTGCGTTGGCATCTGATCGGAAGGATTCGAGAATAGGTCTATTGTCCCTTTCGGAGTTCTCGCATTCGAGATTGATACCTCGGTTACTGTGGACTCTGGTACAACTCCAACATCCAATGATGACACTGAAACCTGAATTACAGAAAATGAAGTTGGTCAGGTGAAATGCACATGAGCTGATGTTTCTAGGCAATTTAGGACGTGTTTATTAACAGCTTAATGAGCTTAATGGGACTCGCAACTTACTCAGTCAGCTATACATGACTGTTTGGTAGTGGCTTAATGATATAGAAAGTGACTTATTTAGTGAACTTTGGGGGGGAGCTAAAAGCTTTATGCAGAAAGCCCAAGTTTTTCTTTTTCAAAGTTGCACCTCCCCATGAAAAAACACTTTCCTTCTATCTATGAAAAACACTCCCAAACAAAAGCCTTCACAATCTATACAGACAGAGTAATTTGCATATAGGACTTGGGGGATGTTTGGATGGTTTTCCAATAAGTCCTATATGGATGAAGCTGTTTGTGTGAATTAATCTGTTTGTATAGATTGTGAAAGTTTTTGTTTGGGAGGGTTTTTTTATAGGTGGAATAAGCATGTTTTTTAATTGGGAAATCTGCATAAAGCTCAGTCCTAGAAGCTTACTGAATAGGCCACTACCAAATAGTCATGCATAGCTGACCAGATAAGCTGTGAGTCCTATTAAGCTGCTAACAAACAGACCCTTGTTGAAAAATCAACCAAACAGCCCCTTAATGTGATATAGATAAAAGCATAGACAATAGGAAACTTAAATCAACTCTAATGACTAATTGAAATTTTATGAAAATCTTACACTGTGAGAAAGTGAAGCAGGATAGCCATTGCCAGCACCATTTGAGGTCTCATATTCCATCCCCAACTGAAACTTGTGGTGTTGGAAATCGTGGTGGTGGTGTTTCTTTGCCTCACCATA